CCTCATCATTTCTCATATTCTCATGTTCACTGCAGCTRTTTCAACTGCTTAATTATTAGTATGTAGTTATATGTAGTTAATTATTTTAAGTGCTTTTCTTTGCAGTCAGCTCTGTACAGAACATCCTCCTTCAATTTACAAGCCCCCTGCCCTCTCTTTAGGGGTCCCTCTTGAAAACCTTTGTTTTTTTGTTGTTTTCCTATATGAAATTATGACAGTATGCTTGTAGGGTAGACTGAGATATGATTTATGTTATATGCCTGTATATATATATATATAAAGGGATGATGTCTCCTCAGTTTTATACTGTAACACTACAGAAATTCTTGGGAGCTGCCTAGTAGAACTGAAGCCTGGTAAGAGAGTGGAGAATCAATGTGTGTTTTCGAACCATGAGGTTGAATAAATCTCACCTAACGTTAGAAGTCTTCAGTGAAGGTGCTTSTATATGAGAACTCTTCCTCAGCTCCCTTTCTAGTGAATTAAAAGAAGTAGGTGCTTTTAAGGTGCARTTTATCTAATCTGTTTTGATGTTGCTTCAAGATGAGACAAAGTGCACCCAAAGTGAATGCTTCTGTCCATTGACTGTAAAGGGAGTCTAGACAACTAAATCAATTGAAGACACAGAGGCTGTAGGTATCTACGTTTAGTCAGATATATTCCATCCTGGGTGTGACTGTCTACCATGTGTATATGTCTGTGTGTCTRTGTCTACTGTGTACTAGACAATAGTTACATTTTTGTAAATCATGTGTGAGATCAACTGAAATGATTACAGGATACAATTCCAAGATTCATAAGTTTAAAAATTCAAATGTGGTAAAACTAGGTCATTTAAGAAGTCAAGAGAATTAAATTAGCTTAGTACACGCATAAAGGAATTTTGCTCTTAATTTTAATTATGAATGTTCTTTACCATGGTGTGGATAGTAAGTAAACTTCTTCAGGGCAAAAAAGACAGTAAATTTACTGTGCTTCAGCCACAGTTGGCCTCACCCTTTTTTTTTTTTTTTTTTTTTTTTTTTTTAATGAGAGCTTTGCAGAAAAGCAATGTGTATGTAGCTAATTTCTATAGGGTAGGTAACAGCTTCTTGGTTTATGTTCTAGTTTCCTTCCATATAGCAGTGGAGTCACAGTGGTGAGGCTGAGGAAGTCTAGAATGTGCCACAAACTATTTGATGAGCATGCTAGGTGATCTTCTGCAAATCATTTCACTGTGATATGCCTTGATTTCCCCTTAGGCAATATGAAGGATATTGATATCAAGCTCTTATTGGTATCAACCCACCATTGGGTTGGAGACCCACCATTGGGTTGGAGATATACTAATGAAAAATGCTTCTCACTATGTACAGATAGTGCTATTAATCATTGATTATCTGGTGCATTTTTCTGAATAGACATTTGTTAAAATGGGATAGTGCCTTTCTTCTGGCTTAATGCAAGTCAGATTTTAATGCTGTCAAGAACATCTTTTTTTTTGGGGGGGGGGGGGTAGGAAAGGATTGCCTTCCACTAGACGTGTTGAGACAATGTACTTTCCATCTTGACAGGGCCATCCGCTGCCTGGAGGAAAGCATTTAAATCATCAATAAATGACCATTTTACCCTGCTAGAGAGCTAGGTTTGCTTCTCAAGCCTCCATACGTTATTCCTCAGTTGGACAAATTTTGATAGAGCAGAAGTGTGAAGTAGGGGAGCAGATCAGTTGTGTGTCAGGGCCTCCAGGGAATGATGCTGGCAATTTTCGAAAGGTGTCTTCTGCAATAGGACAAATTTGAGATTTTCATTGTGATTTATAGTTTATTGTGTAGATTTAGGTCTAGGTCAGAGAAGTTTTCAGGGGGTATGGAAGTGTAGGTCATGTGAACTCCATCTAGTTCACTGCTTTATAGATGCAGTGGAAATGTTAGCATATTGGGCCATTCAGATAACCCCAAAGCTATGTATTCTTCTGCTCCTGTAATTGAATTTGCACCAAATGCCCTCYTTTCCTCCTAGGGCCTTCTGGTTAGGGTCGTCCTCCAAGAAGCTCTATTTGTTTGTTCATTTGGAAGTCGCTCTTCCTTATGACAGTTGCTTTCAACTGTTTTTGCTCTCTAATCCTTCTCCCTGCAAAGCTGTTCCTCTTCATCTCTAATTGCAGTTGCAGTTTCCTGCCTTTCCTTCTAAAATTTGAGACTGTGTTGATTGCCCCAGTCTTCTTAACAGTCACTGTTCTCTGTTCTGTCTGCTGTCAAAGTGCAAGAGAAGTGAAAGRAGGAGTCTTCTCCCCTTTCCTCCCGTCTTATTATGTATCTTTTCTCTCCACACTAAAGGCTTCATTTGCTCCCTGTTTTCTTCTGCCATCTACCCAAGACATCCCCCCTCAGAGTTCTCTCTTTTTCTATTTTCCCCTTTCTCTTCCCTCTCCTCATTTCTTAAATTACTCTTAAAGTGAGGCATCCAGACAGGTAAGCTTCGTGGGGAGGACAACAGAGCAGGCACAAGCATCATGTTCTAGAAGCTGTTAATATTACTGAAGTGTTTCCTGAATGTAATTAATTGGTAGAAAGTATTTTGAAAGTAGCTGGGAAAAGGCATAGATCCTGAGAGGATAGGTCTTCCTTTGTGCATTAGTTTCCTTATTCAATCCTTATTTGCTTTTAAATTTCTTTGTTGAATAAAGGCCAGCTGCAGTTCCATTCAGAATGTGTCTGAATGTTGCTATGAGCAATTTAAAAATTATTTTATGACTGTCTAACTGTTTCTTCTGGGCTCTGGATAGAAAAAGACTTTGTAGGTAAGATCAGAAATCAATGAAGTATGTATATAAATATGTACCAGTAGTTACTATATGAAATTTAAATTCTGTGTTAAAAAAGAAGACTCTAGAATACTAACAATTTAGTAGGTAAAAGAATGTGCGAAGAGTGGAAACATGGCTTTGTTGGCAGGGGTTTGGATTGATGCCTTTTATATGTAGTTCCCATTTTGACTATTTGGTTTGGGATTGGCCTAGTTACTTACTAGATCCTGTAGTATTTTTAGCTATGTATATCCTATTTATATGCTTAAACATCTCTAAGGACTTTAGTCATTTTGTTCCTCTGCTAAAATGAAGGCAATAATGCTTCCTGACCTATGGACTTGTCTGTTCAGATAATAACCTGTTTGGGGTAGGGATTATTTTCTGGGCTTCTCTGTGTATTCCAGCCATGGCTGGTCTCCAGTAAGATTATACCATAAAAACATAGCATACTGTTAACAATGCAAACACCATCTTCTGTTTTATCCACTGATCAATTCTTACAGACAATTACAAACATCTCCTGAATTCATTTCATTTTTTTTGCTTCAGTTATTTTTCTAACTATATATTACTTGTTGTTGCCAACTGTGTGAAGAACTTGTCGTGTTTTATTATGATTTACCAATATTGTATTAATCTTTTTGATTATTTCATTATTCAAATTTTTGAAAACAGGCAATATAAAAAATCAGTGGAGCATGTGTTAAACAGACTAAAAATTGGAGAACTGTTGAATCCCAAAACTAATTTGAGCTTTAATCTAGCAGGAAAGGGACACAATAAAATCTTGTTTTGAAGCTAGAGAAACTCAAATTAGTAAAAAGTTTTACATTTTAACTGTGAAAATAAATGTAAGTTGTGACAAATTATGTAAGACTGTGGAACATTTTCCTTTTCTTGAGTCTTTCTAAAACAGATACTCTTGTATAAAAAGGAACAGAAGAGCTTTTGCCTAAATTACTGCTTGACCTCTATTAATGCAGGAAGTCATATTACATTATTGTAATATTTCTTTTGGCTTTAGAGCTTGTGAAATTTTGAATCTCTGTATTTTTTATCCTTAACTGACCATTATCCTATTCCAGAACCTCCCTCTATGTTGCTGTTGAGTTGAAATCTAATATCCTGGTTTCTTATGTCCTTTGATTGACGGTCTTTAAATCAAAAGTCTCCTTTCTCTAGTACAGTGATCAGTAGCACTAAGCATAATATTTGAGTAATGGGATTGGAAAGCTAGTTTTCCTGAAATTAAACTGCAAAGTGTGATATTATAGCCAAATGATCAAATCAGATCTGTAAAGATATGTCTGCTTAAAACAAAACAGCTGTGCAAGGAGAAAATATGCAGCAATTGTGGTGCTACTGGGAGGGAGTGGAAAAAAAATACACACAAGGAAAGCCTTAAAGAAAGTTACTCTGGCAAGTATATATCTGCTTCCTAGTGTAAGTACTGCGAATTAGGATCACCTGTGAAACAAAAGAAATTTAAAAATCTTTCTGTTTTGCCTGAAGGGACAAGGAATGAGAACCAATATAAGCAGAGAAAGTGTATTATAGCAGTATTTTCCTCCTTGCATGACAGTGTGAAAGATAAGCTGGCTGTTAATAAGTTGAATATTGATATTCACATCTTATAAAATCCTTATGAAAATGAGCCRCTTCAAGATCATCACATCTTGAGGGCTTTTGCAGAGGAATGTAGTATTACTAAGTCCTGTTTTACAATAGTGTAATTAAAATAAAAATATTATGAATAATCATTGTGGTAGAATTTATAGTCCTGCTTAGCATGGACGTTATCTTTTGCCCTCATTTAAAACTGTACAGTATTGCTGAGTGCATAGAATAGCCAGGGGCAACCTACTGTGGAGCTGACACATCTGTGCTTAAACATTGGGGACTGTTTTATAACTTGCACCTTATTTAGTATATGGTGCAGGAGATGAGCAGTAACAGTCTACTTCGGGATCACTTTTTCTTATAAGCACTTGCGTTATCTTCTCTCTCTTTTTTTTGTTTTGACACAACTAAAGATTATATTAAATCACTCGTGTTGATGACTTTTTTGCTTATCTAAAATCATTTTTATAGAAAATGTAAGTTTCTAAGATGATAATATTGGGTGTAATTTCATGCTGCAGTTTGTTATTGCTGTATAATATTGATGTGCAAAACAAATCATTTTTCTTCTGTTTTTCTTTTCCCACAGGGTGCAGCTTTAATTAGAATGTTGGCTAATTTTATGGGTCACTCAGTTTTTCAAATGGGCTTGCAAGTAAGTAAGGACATTTCTATGCTTCTGTAAGTGTATATTTCTAGTAATCTCTTTCTTTTGTTCTCCCTTAAAAAAATGTTTACATGTATTTGTGGAAAGGTTTTTGACTTTAGGATCGTCTGAGACACCAGCATGTCTATGAAGCCCAATTTGATAGAAATTGCTGAGTGGTGTAAAATACAGAACATTGTCTCCATGAATGACAGATCCAGCTACACTTTTCAGTGCATCACATGATTGCACTWTAACTATTTTATTTCCATTTTGGGCACTTTGCAGTGTAGAAGCCATTTTCAACCAGGTGCTACCTGTTATAAAGGTAAACCTATAGAAAGAGTTACTTCTCTTCAATTACACTTACATGGAGATATGAAAATAATAATAAATGTCAATCAGACTAGAAAATTAAATTCTAAATCTAGTGAAGTTTCTCAGATAAATATTTTTGCCTTCCTTTTGCCTCCTATTAAAATCCTTGAGATTTATTTCTACCTTTGATAAGCACGGAGTRCTCTGTGCCTTAATGATGTTTTGAAAACTCATTTTGCCTTTTAAAATAAATTTGAAGGAGTAACGTTTCTGTACGAAGAGAAAGAAATTCAGCATGCTGATTGCCAAGGCTGAACTCTTTTCAGCAATAATTCAGGGCAAATGAATGTTTCGTAAACTATTTAAAAACAAACAAGACAAAGCATAAAAAACAATGTGACTCTCAATTCCATTGAAATCTGCTTGAGTGAATCATGTTGCAGGCAGCTGTGATTGATGAATTATGTATGATGCAGCCTGCTACTTAGAAGTGTCCTTTAAAGTAAATTGATGTTCACCTGAAATACAATTATGCTAAGATAGAAAGAGCAATCAATCTTATCTGTTCTTAGTAAGCTTTTCATTTTGAAATTTAAATAAACTACATCTGAGATCAGGTCATATTTTAACACAATAATTCTACCTCTAATCAAAATGAATTGGAAGATAGAATATAAAACAAAAGTTTAAGAAATACACTAGTTATGTTCTAGAAAGGTGTGTTCAGTGCAGTAAACAATGAAAGGAATCCTGRTGGGGCAGTCTGGCTTTTCTTGGAGAACTACTGGGACGTTCAGGTTTTGAAGGATAGCTTGTTTATGGGATCCCATTGGCTCTTTCTGCTAGAYCTAAAATCAGGTAAGAACAGTTAGTTACTCTTCTTACCCAGATGAAAGATCTTAATGACTAATATCATTAGTCCAGCAAACTCCGTATTCCAAGCAGAAACATTTTCTTGCACAGATCGTTTATGTAGAAGCTCAGCTGCACTTCTTTCCAAAAGACATTTCACTCAAGATTTCTGAAGGAGAATRTTTTAATATATAAAACTCAAAACTTCTTTTGCTATTGCCTTTTACAGATGCCTGAGAGATACAGTGTGAAATTTATCCTGAAATAAATTTAGAACAAAGTTTAGATYAATGCGGGGGTAATTGCCATAAGGTTACAGTGGAAATTTGTTTTTTATTTTGCACATTTCCTCTTATTTCTGCTTTTCAAACAAATTTAGACAGCTTGGGGGTGGCAGAAAAAAATGGCATTTCCATGTCAAAGAAAACAATCAATTGTGCTAAAATGAAGAAAAAATAATTAGTTAGGGTAGCTATTACGTTACAGAGAGACTTGGTCAGTAATGCTTGCTCTAGCTATGTTTCTGAGTTGTATAGGCTAGTGGAGGAAAAAACTGTAATTTGGTCTTACCATTCGGTTATCACCGAAGGGAGTAATAAGCAATGTAATTTTAGTTTTGAGTGAGTTTTTCATCTGTAGCCTCTTGTTCCTAATCTGTATGCTTGAAYTGGATTGCGACTGGTGTCATGACTAGTGTCACTTTATTACACTTAGTGGAAAGCTTTACTGCTTTGAGACAAGGAACCTCTGAGTTATCAGTGTTGCTTTYTTTATATTAAAGTATATGGAGATAGCCTGGTGATTTGAAGGTTCAGCAGTTAGATATGTTTAAAGAGGCATCCCCAACTCTAAGGCTCTTCTATTTGCATTGCATTTTTCTTACATTTAGCCTGGTTATTTGAAGCCCCATCTAGATTACTGTACATTTGTCAGTTTTGCATTTCATTTGCCATGTGGCAGCTCATTGATCACGTAGATCTGTATTCCTTTGAACTTCCCTCACTCCTATGCATGTGTTCATCATTCACACTGATTTAGTGTATCATCAGCAGTTTGAATAAGTTACTGTAGGAATCTCTTCTTCTGTGATGAATTAACGGCTTTTGTTCTTTAGGCTGCACATTGTACATTTGGAAGAAGAATTTTCATACAGTTCCTTGGATATACGCTGTCTTGGTGCTGTTGAGTGGCCACTGTATTGAAACAAATTGGTCAACCTTTCAGAAGAGCTGCCTGGGGAACTGTGAAAGGCAGGCTATTAAATACAGCAAGGTTCAGATTTCAATCGTATTTTACTATCATAAAGCCAGCTAGTTAGTTTCTTTCATACTGTGTGTGTATTATCTCCTGCTTTTTAGATACACCTATGCATGCCCATGCTCCACATTGAATTGTTTTGGCAGTTTGGAATGTGAAACTCTGTCAGAAACATTGTAGATAAAGCTCTCATGCTCTTTTCCATATCGCTTCTCTGCAGAATTTTAGTAGCAGAAGAAATGTTTCCTCTATTTCTACAGTCTGTTTAGTTTTATTTTTACACAGTATGTTGAATAGTTTTCAGTGTACCCATTTTATCTACATTTTAAGTCTTTCTTCTTTTTCATGACAGTTAGCTATTTGATATTAGAAATCCTGAGGAACTTCTAAATAGAGTTTTCTGTAAAAACAAAAAAAAAATCTAGCACCTTAGGATTAGATTCCCCAGAATCTGCAGTCCCCAGAAGAGCAGTGCAAGTGGAAATACCTCCTCCTCCACTCAACTGGAAGACACAACTTGTGCCACCAAGCAGGTTYATATCTACAGATCTAACAGATCTCTGGTGCAGCATCTCTACTCGCTAGTATATTTAGTAGATGTTGAGTAACRTCCTCTTTAGCTGATTTGTGCACTCATTTGCTATGTTTTTAGAAGAGTGCTAGGTATATGACTATGTCTCTTAGGTACCTAGTATTTTATGTCATGGTATCCTATGGGTGTAATAGCTATGACCTGCCCTCAAGCTAATTGCTATTGATCACTTTAGTTTTTCAAACTGCCTCACTTCTGATGGTTATCACCAGGACAGCCTGAGGATGTTAAAATGTAGGAAGTAGAATGTAGGAAGTCTTTTAAAGATGACATCATTGTTTTGTGCTTTACTTGTCACAAGAGATTGATAACATCCTCGTTCTCCTTCAGTGTTGTTATGCTTCTGCTTTACATCACTCTGGATTTTAGGTTTACATTTGTTAAATTAATTCAGTGCTAGTTTTTTTGTTAGTTTGTTTTGTTTGTTTTGTGTGTGTGTGTTTTATGCTTTGTGTTTTTTTTTCTCACAGTTGTTTTTTATTTCCTGTTTAGCCTTTTTGAAAAGGCTAAAATATGCAACATAGTAAAGGCCAGATGTGATGCTCACTGAAGGACATAGAAGTCCTTCTGGCTCCAAGAGTATTTTGAGTACAGCATGTATATAGCAAAAATACTTCCTTAAAGAAACGATAAAGTTAAGATGCATAGTTTAGTGTCAGGTTGTTGAAAAATGCCTGAATTAATTTTCCCTGTGCAACTTTCATTCTTTTCTTTTTTGTTTACACCTTGACCAGGCTGTTTAAATATGTCATTGCCCAGTGTTTTTTGTGAAGGCCAATGCCTCATTTCCATTCACAAAGTGAACCACACTAACTGAATGCTTCCTCTGTTCAATGCTTCTGCATAGTTTTCATTCATTCTGTATCCCCAGTCTTAATTGCCATATATGATCTGATCTGAAATGCAGCCTTTTCTTGTGACATTTTTCCTAAATGTTAACTAGTATTATATCAGATATCAGAGTACATCACCAACTGCAAGCTAACAGAAGACCCTCAGGGAAAGGCAAAGGGTGGTGCTAGACTTATTTTGTGAATGGATCTCTATGGCCACAGAAATTTTAAATCTCACTAGCTYGGAGTATTCTATATGAGATGTTCAGTGCTCCATTTTTGCCTCCTGTATTTCTTGGCTCTTATGGCTCAGAACACCTTATGTATTCAAAGCACAGCTTCCACTGTCTTTCTCTTCATCTTTAAGCTCTCAACATTGGTGCAGCTCAGCAGGGAAATCAAAGTGGACCTCCAGAAAAAGTAGATAGTACAATTAATTTTGCTATAGCTAAATTAATGAGTTGAATGCTTGCATTGAATGCATACCAGTGTGATTAAAAGTATCCATGAATGCTGAGCATCTTTTTGGAAGCCTGAGAGGATGTTCTTTTGAAGTAGTCAGCATTATAAACTATTTCTGATCCTCAGAACACACTTCACATAATTGGTTTTGGTCACTGTGTTAAACACTTCTGCAAATAAGGACCTTAAGTAATGCACCCACAATTAAAATAGTCACTGTTCATGATTGCGGTGTTTGGGATTGCTACTTTCCATCCCAAGTAATATAGGTGCTAGTGCAGTGCAGAGACATCTCTCCTCACAGTGTTGCATAACCCCAATATTCATTTTGGTTGTATTGACTTCTCTCCCTCTATTCAATTCTACTTTCTGTCCCTTGGCATTTGGATCAGACAGCTTTCTTCTCAGGCTGTTGGGTTGCTTTCTTGCAGTAGGGTTGCATGGAGAAGCCATAGACAGGCTCTGTGCTTTCTCTTTTAGACCCTAACCTCACTCTAAGCTTAAACATCATTATACAGAGAGAAAGTCTAGCTGCTAGATCATCTAAAGTTGACCAGTACTAGGAGAAAGCCTGTTCCTAAAAGATCACTTTTCTTCTAACCTTCAAATCTTTGCTCTGGTGCTTCAGAGCCATAGAGTTTCTTAAAGAAGAGAGCCAAGAACACGTAAAATGAGATATTGTTCCATATTTTGTT